TGTAACACATATTATCGTAATAAAAATGATGGTGTGATCTTATAACCCATCTTATTATATCTTGAATAGTGGCACAGTTATATTGCCCACAATATATAATATGTCATATACTTCATATATATTAAGTGGTGGTTTTGCCCCCACATTTACATTATTTACTGTATGGTGTAAGTTTATTACCCATACAATAGTGTTTATTTAAAAGTGTGGCATGAGTTTATTGTACACACCACTGCCTTTACTTTTTATTTAAAGTATGGTGTGGAATTAACGCCCATACAGCAAGCAATTTACTTTATCGCACATTTACTTTTATTTAAAGTATGGTAAATTTCGTCCATACAGCAAGCAATTTACTTTATCGCACATTTACTTTTATTTAAAGTATGGTGCGGGTTTATAGTCTATACTAGCAATTTATTTATAACACTTTATTTTTATGAAAGAAAGTATTAGTTAATATACATGAACAATTAAAGGACCTGAAGTTCCTGTTAAGAAATGACTTAATGTCCCAGATCCCGAACCAAAAGTTTCGAGTAAAATATGCAAGATATTTTTGGCCTGAAGTTCAAAAATATATTAATCCTGAAGATTATTGCAAATTCTGATACATCTCATTTTCTTTTGAAGATGGCAAACTTGGCAAAGTTGGAATTTGCTGCCCTAGACATATTTGGGAACAACTATCTATCATGAGTTCTGGATGCCAAGAGCCTTGGAAAAACAATTGTAGATGGAAGTGATGCATCACCTAAAGAAAACGCAAAGGCTATGATTTTTCTTCGCCGTCACATTCATGTAGCGCTGAAAAGCGAATGTGTGGTTGTCGATAACCCATTGGTTATGTGGAAAGCCTTATGCGAAAGATACAATGACCAGAAGACGATGATCCTCCCAAGAGCCATATATGAGTGGACATACTTGAGATTCCAAGATTTCAAGTCAATGTTTGAGTACAACTCAGCAATGCACAAAATCACCTCCCTGATGAAATTATGTGGTGAAAATATCTCTGAGGAGGATATGCTCGAGAAAACCCTCAGTACCTTTCATGCCTCAAATGTGCTCATGCAGCAACAATATAGGGATAGCGATTTTACGAAGTACTCAGAACTGGTATCTTGCCTTTTATTGGCTAAGCAGAACAATGAGCCTTTATTGAAAAATCACCAATCTTGCCCAACATGCTCAACACCATTTCTTGAAGTAAATGATGCATCTCAGGAAGTGAATGCCACCTCATCTCGTGGCAATATCCACAACCGTGGGCGAGGAGGCAAGCGTGACCGCTGGGAAGGGAATAGAAAAGATCATGGTGCCCATTCATATGGCTTAAGTCTAAGGAGTCATCCAGTCACGAGCGGAAAAAATGCATCCCGGAATAAGGGGAAAGCTCAGATAATCTATGTGCCTAAAAATATTAAGGGCACTTGTCACATATGTGGTGTAAATGGACATTGGGTGCGTACCTGTAGTACGCTGAAGCATTTGGTGGATTTTTATCAATCTTCACTTAAGGATAAGAAAGTGAAGACAAATTATATTGATCATGTTGATCCAATGGATATACTAGATCTACCATTCACACATGACCCATTAAACCCAATCACCTTTTGTTTTGAAGAGCAAGAAAAAAAGACTTGAAGCTTTTAGATGAGAGGGAACATTATGGTGTACTGCAATTAGTGCCATAGTCTAAAATATTGATAATATCGACAAAATATTGAGGATATTATTGTTTTTTCGGGTCACAGATATTTCGGAACGTATCCATACACATATCGTATGAATATCGATAATATTGACGATAATATCGGAAAATATCAATGTTGATAATCTCACTCATACTTCAGCAATATTATGTCAAAATATCGCTATAATATCGAAAATATCGATGTAATAGAAAAAAGGAAAAAAAAAACACAAAGCACAGACGGAAAAGGGATTTAAACCCCTGTCATTTCACTCCTCCAATGCCTTAACCACCATGTTGCTTATAATTTTGTGATAATACGCAAATGGAAACTCAATGTGGTACTAAGTCACTCATGTATCTTACCATGCAATGTATAAAGTATAAAATATTTTAGTAAATCATTATATATAAATGATTATGGTGTGTTTAATCTTCTTTTATTAATTACTACATATTTTTTACAATCACAGTGTTTGTCAGCTCGCTATATAATCAACATCTGTTAAACCCATCATGCAATGCATTTCCTTCCAATTTTTTGTGATAAACTAATAGATAATTGACTAAATAAACATCATTCAAAGTTTCAATAAAAATTTCCAAGTTTTTCTTACAATTTTCATGGTTTTATTCAATTTTTATCAATATTGATAATATTTCGATATTTCCATCGAAATTTCCACATTATGATGTATTGCAATTAGTGCAACATAAAATGAAGATCAGTTCATAGTTATATTGGGTTTTTTAAATAGATATTTATAAAAATACCCAATCCTAGACATGTATTTATAAAAAATACCCAAGCACTATTTAAACATAGAAACATACCCAAAATGGGTTTTGGGTATGTGTGTAATGATGGGTTTTGGGTATGTTTATAAATGGGTTTTGAGTGTGTGTAATGATGAGTTTTGGGTATGTTTGTAAAGTGTTTTGGGTGTTGGGTATTTTTATAATTTCAGCCCCCATTTTGGGTATTTTAGTGAAACTCCCTTTTTTAAATACCTAATTATGATACTTACGAAACCTTTAAATCATAATTTTATAATCATACAATATCATTTAGCCGAGGTCATATGTTCAAACCTCGCTTTCGTCAATATTATTTGTATAAAAAATCATACAAATACTCATAAAATACATCCTAAAAGAATCCTATTGTATGTTGACAATTGAACTTAACCCGGTGTGTTGTTGGTCAATAAACTTATCAATGCTTTTATCTGGTCAATAAACTCGACTGCTTTCATTATTGAATGCTCTAAGAAACATATCATTGCTTTTATCTGGTCAATAAACTTGACCCGGTATGTAGTTGGTAGAGATTTGGAAGATAGAATTGATTTCATTATAATATGATAATATGATAATATAATATTCTAATTGTTAGGAACAAGAAAATTGTTTAACCATTGGAGTTTGTAAACTACAATCCTATTGGCTGAGGCGCCTTGGTTGTATCAGAAGCTAGAAAGGGGAGAGAGAGAGAGAGAGAGAGATGGCAGAGGAAAACAAAGTGACCCTATATGGAATGTGGTCAAGCCCTTATGTTAAGAGGGTGGAATTGGCTCTCAGACTCAAAGGCATACCCTATGAATATGTGGAAGAAGATTTGAGGAACAAAAGCCAATTGCTCCTCAAATTGAATCCCATTCATCAGAAAGTTCCAGTACTTGTCCACAATGGAAAAGCAATTGTTGAGTCTCTTGTCATCCTTGAATACATTGATGAAACCTGGAAAACTGGCCCTCAACTTCTACCAGAAGATCCCTATAAACGATCCCAAGTTCGCTTCTGGGCAAGCTATCTGCAACAGGTGAGACTTGAGAACAAAAAAAAATGTACATTATTTTAGCCATGTTTAGTGCTTAATGAGTTACTCAAGCTAATTAAATTATTAAAGTAACTTGTATATGCTTGTTCTTTGGTGCAGGTGTCTGAGAGCATGGTCTCAGTGCTCAAAACCAGTGGAGAAGCACAAGAGAAAGCCATTAAAGAAGTGACTGAGAAACTCAAGTTACTTGAAGAGGGATTGAAGGGTTTCTTCCCAAATGGCTTTCCTAATTCATTTGACACAGAAAATGTGGGACTACTAGAGGTGGTCATTTGTTCACATTTGGGTGCAAATGAAGCTCAGGAAGAAGCCCTTGGAGTGAAAGTTATAACCCCTGAGAAGACTCCACTAATTTATTCCTCCATAACAGCTCTGACTGAGATCCCTGCGGTGAAGGCGGCGAGCATTCCTCAGGAGAAGGTGGTGGCTTTCCTCAAGTTCTTTAGAGAAAAGGCCCTCAAATCTTCTGCAGAGTGACCATTTAGTAGTATTAATTGTTGAGTTGTGTTTGCTTCTTGCTGTCAATTACTCTGTTTTGTTTTGTGTCTGTGGCACTTTATGGAGTCTCAAATAATGGGAGCAACAATCCAGCTACTTTGGTTCTTATGGAGTCTCAAATAAAGGGAGCAACAATCCAGCTACTTGGGTTCTGCTCGCCAATGTTATCTAATTTGTTGTAAAAGAAAAAAGTGATTAGTACCATGACATATCTCTGAATTTAGCTAAAAGTCGGGAATTTAAGTGAAAAAATTGACAATTCTTTTGTTTGACAACTTAAGCGTGGAATTTATTAAATGACGCACGGAAAAAATCGGGGCATCAAATTCCCTAGTTTAGTTTCCACCAGAATAGGCATCATTTCACAATTGTCAATGTCATTTACAAAATTTAACATACATAAATTCAAATACTGAAATCTTCAATTGCCAGAAATTGAAATAATGAAAATCTAAATTACGTCATTTTAGAATTCTATATTATTTTCAATTCCTTTATCCAAACGAAGAGTTATAGAATGGTGAGGTTGGCGTCGTGCAAATAGGGTCTCATTTTTATAAGAAACGTGATACATGCAATATATCATTATGAAAAGGCCTATGACTACGTCTCTATGTTACACTCAAATTTCATTGATTTGGGTGATGAAACTTAAATCACCAAGCTTGTATGTATACTGCAAACCAAATCAACAAATACCATAAGTAATGCTCTTTCGTCAAAACAAATATGTTATATTCAAATATAATTTCATGCTTTCAACACTAAAGATTGTAAACATGGTATACGCTAGATCCTCTAAAATGACACAGCATTTCCAAACAACTGAGATCGTGACATTGCAGATTTCTGACTGCAAAAATGAAAATCACTAAGACGATGTCGTTTCTTCCCTATCAGAATACAAAGAACAGTGAGGCTAGTCTTGACTTTGTCTTTGTGTACGTTGTACTTTTGTTTAGTTCAACATTTTTTTTATTTCCTCTTTCCCCGTCCAACGATCCAAAACTAATCCCCAAAACCAGAGGCCCATTTGACCCAAGAGAAAAGAAAAACCAGCCGGAGGCCATACTGTTCGTTCTGATCGACGTTGAACTTAGGAGTTCGCTTTCTCACTCCTCTCAAATGGGAGCTCACAATTCGTTATCTTTTGTCACTGGTAAGCCTTCGAATTCTGGATTTTTCCACTTCAATTAGATGGATATTATGGCATAGAAATAGCGATATTTTTTTAATTGGAATTTTGATTCTGACATAATAGGATGGTTGGAAGATATCAAGCAATTACAATGAAAGAATGAAACTGTAATCTTCTAGCAAATTGAAACCATTGACTTTTATAGGTTTGACTTTACATGTTTGGAATTTGAAGCAGAAGAAAACCTCAATTTTTTTGTTTTTTTATAAAATTCTTAAGTGATAAATATTCTGTTTCTTTGTGAAAAACTATTGTTGGGAATAAAAGAAATCAAGGTTTTTGATATTTAGTGAATGTGTAATTGCATATGCCAATTTGTATATAAAAAAATTATGGTTCTGTGTTTGTAATTTTTTGCATGGCAGAATTGTAAATATTTATGGACTTGTGGGAAGTTACTAATTGATTTTTTAATCAGTCAATGTACTTTGTAGGGAATTTGTGTGGGGAGCTATTGTTGTGGCATATGGGGAAGGAATGTTGCATCCTGTTGAGACCATAAAGACGCGTATTTGGAGCCATGCTAAAGATGTTGTAGATGTAATATTCATGGCTAATGGGTGAAGCTCAAACGTTTGGTATGTAATGATATGGATGGCATTTAAATTTATTTAAATTCTATGTAAGAAAGAAAGTAAATTTCCAAGTATTGGCCTTTTATTTTCTTGCTAAAGTCTTTGCATATCTTACCTATGAAGCCTTGTATCCAAATGTATGGTGTTCTCTCCTTCTCCGTCCCTCTTCTCTATGTTTTTCATTAGGATTGGAATTAGGCAATGAATGGTATGTAATTTAAGACTATTGGCCTCTTTAGGACAACTGGTGTGTGTCATCCACATAGTTCACTTGATTGTACTTGATGTTTAGGATTCAGGATGTTCACAGGATTTTAGATGGACATCTCATTCATCCTCCTTGTAACTCTTCTTTGATTAATAAGATTTGTGTTTCTTGTAAGGAAAAGAAAATGAAGAAAAAAGAATTTATCAGTTTGAGGTCGTACCACGTACAATCCAGTTGTACCATAAATAGCAATAGCTTGTATGTCTAACCCTTTTCTTTTGGCCTTTACATCATTTGGTTTGAAACACTAGGAAAATAGGATTGCAACTTCTGAACATGCATCCTCCCTGGCCCCACTAGTTTATTGTTTTATTTTGTCCCAAACAGAAAATTCAGACGTACCATATTTTGATCATTGGTGAATCATAGGCAGTTAGCCTTTGGCCTCTAATTTATTTAGTTGTCATTATTCTGTTGCTCTTTCCTAATAAGCTCTGGTTCTTATTTCTAGGATGATAGTTTGGCTTCAAAATTATGAATTTCCTGTGCATTATGCAGGTTTTGTTCTATGAAGGCTTGAAAGATTAGACAGAGTATGGGAAGCAAATTACAAAATCCAAATTTCCATATTTATAGTTCTAGTGAGGGAGTCATGCTTGGTGGATTGGCTGGTGGTATGTACCTTGCTTATACTTTGTCCTACTTTGTTCTGTTCATAGTTCTATAATTCATTTCAGTATTTCCTGTAGGGTGATTTATACTTGCATTATCTTGTCCAGGTATGCATATCTTGCCACTCCGTTAGATGCGATCATGTGATCAAAATAAGATTTCAAGTGCAGGGTAAGACCTTGAGGTATCAATTCTGTTTTTTGGATACTTTTATCGTTATTTTCAGACGAATTTCAGTTGTCAGTGTAGGACTAAATTTGGTGCAAGCACCACATGCTGTATATGTGATGTTAGTGTACTTAATGTCACCTGAACAAGGCTTGGCACTTGTATGCAGTCAGCTGTTGTGCGTGTCAATACTGATCACATAGGTGCACAGATGCAAACACTAGTTATCCTTGTAATTCATTGAGGGGTTTTTTACAATTCTATAGCTTTTTTATCAATGTGCCATTTTCCAAGTTATTTCATTCTTTCTGATATGGAACTCATTGTTGTTGCATCCTGGATTTCATCTTCATGGTCTGCCCTCATTAGTGCGTTATGTAATAGTAGTGTTAGACTGAGAGTAAATAGCTTCTTTTCGTTCAGTATCTTATGGTTGTAGCTAGTATCTCCTGCAGTATGATGCAGCTATTCTTCATACTTCATTTGCAAGGCTTCTGGGTCACCCCAAAGCATCTTCTACTGTAGTACATCTAAAGACTCTTTGAGTGCAATTAGTAGCCTATTCATTGCTGTGTCACACGAATTATTTTAATATTGCAGTTGCAACCTATTAGGTGATCTGCTGGAACTGTTAATTCTTGATCTTTCTTATACTCTTCAAAGAATCTAGGCTTGTTTTCCAATTTCTTTTCAATTTTCATATATAGTATATGTATGACTACTTTTCATATTTGATGGAATTTGACAATCCTTGATAAGGTCCATAACATTCATCAATTAGAGTTGAAGGAAAGCGTCAGCTGTTGTGCACGTCAACACTGATCACATAGGTGCACAGATATTAACACTGTTTATCCTTTATATAATCATTGAGGGGTTTTCTGCAATTCTATTCCTGTTTTATCAATGTGCCATCTCCCGCCATTTTGGTTAAATTTCATCACCAGATAACATACTATTTTAAATCTTGGAAACAAAGTGGTCGGGCTATAGTCAGAAAATATACTTTGGAAATTTTGCATTGACTTTTATTTCAAACTAATCCTATAACATGTTTGCCAAGATGAGGAAGGGAATTTTTAGAGAGTAATTTTCCCCTGGTATATCCGGCATGGGCCTCACATGCATGTCTTGAATTTTTCTATGGATTTATTACTAATTGGATGAAAGTTAAGAGGTGATAGCAAAGTTGTTTTTCAGTTTCTATCTAATGTTGTTGTGAAATTTAGGTAGGAATGGCTGGTTGCATGCAATTTGTTGCATATAGATGGATGATGATGCATAGGGGATGTTCAGAGGTAGCATTCTCAGGATTGGAGGGTTTAGTCTAGCTTCAGCTCCTCCCTTACGGCTATTGGATTTTCTCGGAGATCATTTCAATGAAGGATTGAGCAATGACAACACGCAAGAAGTTGCTAGCGTGTCAGTGGAGGAAATACTGGGGAATTTTCATGTATCCAAATAATAATTTGGACAAGACTTTTAATAATGTTTTCTTGTAATATGTTAGACATATAATGATATTGAGGAGGAGGTTTTTGGTATTATTTTTTCGCTTTGCGCTTCCAGAATCACTAGTTTCGGGGATGGGAGGCAAATTAAAATGTTGTCAGACTTTACCCGCGGTTTTTGGATTCGCTACTATAAGGTGCTATAGCAACAGCTAGCGACGGTTTTTACCGCTGCTAAATCCACTTGACTGGGAAAGAGCATAAAAATTGTCACTAAAAGCCCCAAAACGGGGACTAAAGACCAAAAACCGTCGCAATATAAAGAAACTGTTACATATTCGCTGAAAATGTTGGTTTTGTTTCTGTTTTTATGTAGGCGTTCGTTTTACTTCCCCTAAAATACTAAGGGATATTTGGTAAGTCACATAGAATCTGATTAAACTTCATTGCGCCAATGCAATACAACATTTGCAATGATTGAGAACCATATACAATTGCAAAGTTAAGAAGAAGTAAAAACTCCAACTGTGTTGTATTTTCAAGGACTTACGTAGTTTTTAAACATTTCATTCTTCTTAGCTTCAGAAACTTAAAAGCAGCAAACTTTATGTATTTTTAGGTAACAACTCCAATGCGTTTTATCAGTGTTCATTTGCCAATATGTATTTTCGGATTAATGTTGGAAAATTAGATGGGCTTGTTTGCATAATGGTTCTGTTTCTGTGGTTCAAACGTTGATGCTCTGCATTATTAGGTAACACAGCTCAGAAACACTTTTTGTGGTAAGCTTTCCAAATTGTAATTCTCCCAATTAGCTTGTTTGGATTCGAATGGCCTACGAACAGCGACAAATTGAAAAAGAAAAAGAAATTTTTGCTTGACATATAAGGAATGTGGAAGACATCAAAGCAGGAGCTAACATGAAAAGACTGGAACTCTAGTCTCTATTCTTCCAGCCAGATGCAACCATTGCAACTTGTTGCAGCTGAAATCAGCAATTTTTATTTTTCACTAAAGAAAGAAACTAATTCACTCGGTGACACAAAAGCAAAGCTATGAAAACATTTGCTTTCCTTTTAAGAAAATATTGTGGGAAACAAAACGGAAAATCAAGTTTTTCAATATTATGGGATGTATAGGATGCCTTTACTCTGTCTGCATGTGCCCCAACCAGACAACCTCAACCATATGCGAAACCCTTGTGTGCTCAGACGTACAATCGTTTTGGTTGGGTTAAGTTTCGAATGTGCTAGCTATATATAAAACTTGATATATATTTGAGTGCTCTTTTCTATATCTGGACATGGATATTTTGTTCTTCTTGTTATGCCCTAAATGGATGTCCTTTTAGGCTTTCAGTGTTGGTCTTAGCAACTTGAATTGTTGTTTGACCCTTCAGCCATCATGGGAACTCCAAAATGCAGGTGATCATTCCTTTTACTTTATATATTTGAGCACATACACTCGGTTTTTTCTAAAGTAGATGTTTCACTTGAACGAGTAATTATTTGGTGTGACCGTAACACAATTATCAATCCACTCATGCTATAATAAAAATATGTTTACTAATATATATAATCTGAAGCATAAATTCCTGGCCCATTAATTTTTTAACACAATGGTAACAAACAAAACGCTTTGAAGATTTTTCTTTTCGATAGATGTTTAATCCCAAAATCAACATAATTTTGTATATTAAAAAGGTGCTAATAAGCTTTAGAATGGGCCGTGGATTAAAAAAAAGCTGGTAGAGTTTTAAAACATTCGGCCTGGCCCAAATTGCTTCTATAGGCTGGTCAACGACCTACCTTTCTTTAAAAAAAATTATTACATGTCAAGAGATGACTGGTTTAATATCGGTACTATACTTTCGGCAGCCGTAGCAGATTATACACTCCCCAAAACCCTACCCCTTTTGTTCTCTCTCTCCACACTCGCACCTTCACTTCGGAAAGCCTAATAAGAGCGAGACAGAGAGAGCGGTAGGGTTTTAGAGGAGCATCAGAAGGGAAGCTGAAGATGGTGGCTGATAAGGGTAAGAAGCTGAAGCTTTCAGAGAAAGCCGAAGATGATAACTCGGACCACATCGACGAGAAGCTCGTCCTTTCCATCGAAAAGTTGCAGGAGGTCCAAGACGAGCTCGAAAAGGTTGTTCCTCTATACCTATCTGCGCATTAGATTATTGTACCCTTGTTCCCTGTACAATTGAGGCAAAATAAGGGTTTTTATCTAAAGTTTTCTTTGGGAATTATCTGCCCATTCAGAGCTTTTCGTGTTCTTATTGCTCTTGAATTATTAACTTGCTCAGGTAGGCGCTTTGAATTCAATTTTTTCAGCCCATGCATGTGTTGCACTGCAATTTAATTTTATTATGAGGATGTAGGAAATTAACCCATAGGAGGGAATGATTTATGGCTTTGATCAAAGCCTAAACCCATAAAAGGATCTGAGGGTGCGCTTGGTTTCGATAGAAAATCAGTGCCTTAGCTTATTAGAGCAACAACATTGCCTACATTTTTCTTTTTTTTTTAAAAACCATTGAGGGGCGCTCCATTATATAGACATCTGTAGGCAGCAGCCCCGTGCTTCATTTTGTTGTTTGTTGTAACACACTGGATACTCGGTATAATTGTTGCAACTGTCAACTCTGCTATGTGTTTCATTTTGTGAAGTTTGAATTGCTGCTTTTGGTAATTAAATTTTCTCCTTTATTTAACCTTCCATAGGTCTGGTTTATTTCAACTAGAGGGAAAAAAATAGAGAAAGGAAGAGTACGTGAAGTTTACTGTTTTCGTGTGTTTGATTAGTGGGAACCATTCTTAGGCTAGTGTGGGCTCCAGCCCCTCACAAGTTTTTTGGAAAACTGAAAACTTCTGCTAATTTTTAGGAAATTCACCCACTTAGTGGAAGTTGGCCCACCCAGCCTAGAAAAAATTGGCTCATACCATCCGAGCAACTCACAAGAGAACCGTAGTCAGCCACCCATACATAATAGAGGGGAAAAATAAGTTTTTAGCACACCCGTGTGGAAATTCTTGGTTCCACCTTTGCATGAAAAAATTGATGGGAAAGGAAAGAGAAGAATATACAACTTTGGTAGCTTTGGTTGTACAAGACCTATTGAAATCTTGCCTACTTTGAAAAGAAGTTCAAGACGCAAAACCGAATAAAACCTTGACATCATTGAAAATGTGTATAACAGCTAACTATTCGAGCTTCTTGCGCCAGGCATGAACGGGGCTAAGTAATATTGTCCTAGTTGCGGGACGGGATCCAGCAGCCAGTTGCTGGCTCTTGATAACTAGCCCAGAAATAACTCCAATTTCCATAATATAACGAGCCAAGGTTGCACGTGAGCTGAGTGACGTAGGTGCACAAGCTATCATCTCCATAAGCAAAATAAGAGTTATTTTCTTCCTTTTCTTTTCCATGTCATTTTCTTGTTAATTAATAACCAAACAACTGAAAGCTAGGAAATTTAGTCGTTTTCTTTTCTTGTCGTTTCTCAACTGGTTAACTGAACAGAGCCTGATAGGATGGAAACCATGCTACATTTCCACTTTGTGGCCTTGTTTGTAGGCTGGGCATTTTATTAAATATGAATGTGATGGAAGTCACTTTTTAAGCTCTAAAACTAGTTAGTTAAACTTCTATGGTTCACTTGTATTAAGAATTTTTTGCGCACGAACTTGTACTGATATTCAATTTATGTATTATTGCAAATTTGCAATGGACCAACCGTTTTCATTGGATTTTTATGTTTTCTTTTGAATGCTTTATAGATCAATGAGGAAGCCAGTGATAAAGTCCTGGAAGTGGAGCAGAAGTATAATGAGATACGCAGGCCGGTCTATGATAAACGAAATGATATCATCAAGTCCATTCCCGACTTTTGGTTAACTGCTGTTAGTTATCTATCCCTATTTATATCTGAACGGAAGAATTTATGATGTTGACTTTTTTCCCAATTAATTGACTTGCTCCTTAATCTGCAGTTCCTGAGTCATCCTGCGCTTGGTGAACTTTTGACCGAAGATGATCAAAAGGTTTCGTATTTGTTCCCATATGCGCCAGAAATTAATTAGTGCATGCTTCTCTTTATGAGTATTTTTTAATTACTTTGCAAATAATAAATATCTGTTGATGATCATTGAATTGCATAATCAGTTACTCACATTCCCTACCTTATCTTCCATAATCAATGAAATCATTGATATTGTTTCCATGTAATATTTCAAATTGGCTTCTTGTTTCCTCAATCTTTTCTATTATGTCTGGGTTCATTTTTCCTTTTCCTTTCATAGATTTTCAAGCATCTAACTTCTCTGGAAGTGGAGGATTTTAAGGATGTGAAGTCTGGTTACGCCATTACTTTCGTGAGTTTCTCCTTTCCTTTTCCATTTTATCTTTGAATTGCATTTGGGTGTGTTATATGTTATGTTTCAATTATTGAATATTTGAGATTAAATAAATTTCGTTATTTAATGTACAGCATTTCAGCCCCAATCCTTATTTTGAAGATGCGAAGCTTACGAAGACCTTTACTTTCCTTGATGAAGTAACAAAAGTTTCTGCCACATCAATAAAGTGGAAAGAGGGAATGGTATAAGATTTTTGTCTTGTATTCAATTTGTGTCTGCCTGTCAATTCGGGTTATTTTAACTTACTGTGTACCTAATATGTGAAGGGCATACCTAATGGAGTTAATCATGATAAGAAAGGGAACAAGCGACCTCAGGCTGAGGAAAGGTTGGTTATCCAAATCTGTTAGAATGGACCTCTAGAATTACGTTATCCTTCTGTATGCTTATTTCAAAGTGACCGGAATTCCAATCCTCACTCAATTTTATTGTTTTCATGTAGCTTCTTTAGCTGGTTTAGTGATAGTCAACAGAAAGATATTTTGGACGATGAGATTCATGATGAGGTTAGTTTCTTTTTGCATTTGAAGATGGTAACAAGTGCTTCGTATCAATCTCAATATTGACCCAGACAATCTTTCCTTAGTTCTTACTCTCATATGGATGACTTTCCCTTCTTACTGCAGATTGCAGAGGTTATTAAGGAGGATCTGTGGCCCAATCCTCTTACTTATTTCAACCATGTAACTTCTCTTTTACCTTATTTCCCTATTACATAAGCATAAGTCTAATTATTTCTTAGAAGCGTTTACTGTTTGCCTAATTTTCTAATGAGTTCATGACCTCTTTGACATAGGAGGCTGATGATGAGGATTTCGATGATGAAGAGGCTGATGAAGAGGTAAATGCAGATCCTTTTGGTTTATCTGTCAAGCAGAGTAAAAATACTCTAAACATGGATAACCTTTCTACTAAATCCAAACCTTAAATCTGTACTTTCTAACGCCTTAAAATTTGTGGTACACAAGAAGATGCTGAGGCCGGATATTAAGTACTGCTGTGTGATTTAAAAAAGAAAATTGTTATTGTTATTTTCACAATTGCATGACTTGATCATTATTATCCATCGCCATTACATACTTTAATATAATAAGATATGTTCAAATTGAACCTCATATACAGAATTCCATCAGGTTCAGGCCTTTTGCTTCTTAAAGTAGTCAGTGGTCTAGGATAGGCCTGTGGCATCTATACTAGTAGTGTTTGGCATCCTTGTACAAAGTACTATGACCGATATTTTATTTTACAATTCCTGCATTGCTACATTCATGTGTGTTTGTTTCCTTTTGAGTCCTAGTTCATACATGTAGTGTTGTATTACCTGGAGGCATATGTAAATTGATGGTTTTTGTGCAATTCTCGTGGTTAGATGAACTTAAATGTAAGGAGCTCGTTATTGACTTGAGAATGGAGATAACTTGCACCCTTGCAAATAATTTTATTAGTTGAATATATGTGGTTATTTACTTGCTTTCATCTGAACCTCTCTCATATGCTGCCCTTATCTATCTGTTACAAATCTCATAGAAATTTTAGCAGGAAATTCCCTTATCTTAATTCTTGAGGTTTGCCTATTGACAGGGAAAGAATGAGGATGATGACTCTGAAGAAGATGACGATGACCAAGAAGATGATGAAGATGGTGACGAGGATGATGGAAAGTGAGAACATCCATCTGGGTCTTCACCTTTTGGCATTTGCTGCTTTGTTAACAGCTTGTGTAAAGTGGTCTACAGTAGTCGATAAGTTAAGTCTAAGGTGACAGGGGGATGACCATCATAACTCTTTATTGACAGCGACCTGCCATCTAGGCACTTGACTGCTCTTATAAGCCAGTCACTGGTTCTTGTTTCATGGCCTTTCTCTGTTACAATGGGGTTATTTTTGTGGCTTCTCCCTGATATGCAGGTCTCTAGAATGACAATATTATAAGGGTCTTTGCTTTCTTATGTTTCTAAATGACGTGAATGAGGATATATGGTATTATGGAGTTAAAGGCTCGTTGGCATCATTTTATGGTTGACTCTACTAGTAGGGATTTTCATTATCGGGTATCAATTTTAAGAGAAATTCTTACTTTGCCAGGAAAAGAACAGGAAAAGGTTTCTGCTGGTCTTTGGAACCATGAATGCTTAGAGGGTGGCAGAAGTTTTAATTCACAGAGTAGATAAACAGTGACGCCTGATGTTTTTAACAGGCTTTGTGCCCTTAGTAGACATAAATATAGTGAAAAGTAGGTTTTCCATTAATTTGTTTTACTTTTCGCTTCTCAGAGTTACCAAGTCTAAAGAGGAGGGAAAGCTTTACACTTTCATCATGTTTTTAGCGGCGGTTTTCTATCCCACGGCAATAGCATGTTATAGCAACGCCTAGCGACGGTTTTATCCGCTGCTAACGCCACTTTTCCAAAAAGGAGAACAAAAGTCGTCATTAAAACCACGAAAACCGGGGTAAAAGACCAAAAACTGTCGACACAACGCGAGTCTGTCACATAAAAGCTGAAATCCTCCAATCCAACGGCAGCCAATTTTTGTGCAATAAAAAAATGAAAAAAAATCGAATTTTTTTTAAAAAAATACCCAAAACTCTTCACTTTCAACACCAAATCCTCATACATTTTCTTCTACTTCTACTATTATTCACTTTTTACTTAAGTATTGACAAGTACGAACCCAAAAATTTTATCCGAAAATATTGTCCAAATTTATTGTTTAGGTAAACAAATTTGTGAAAAAAACAAAAAATTGAATAGTACTTGCCCTTTGCCCGGGCAACTGCTGGAAGTGCAACTTACTTTTTGCAAGGGCAGACACTATTCATGTGAATAGTGTCAGCCTTAGCCCCCCCTTGCCATGGCAAGGATTTGACTGCTGGAAGTGCTCTAAGGGTTTAGGGTTATTGTTTACAATTTTAACGCCAATTGTTAATACAATTGCAAATATGTCCACAAAAGTTTCAGACATTATATTGTGACCCTTTTTTATTTTAAAAATTGTAAAATCATCCCTGCCGTGTCTTAATTCAAAGTTGACCGTTTCAAGGAGTGTCTTGACTTGACCGCGTCAAAGTCGTTGTGTCTGAGGTGTGTCCAAAGTGTGTCCACTTATCAAACTGTCTAACATTTTGGCACTTCAACAATTTGGAGTGTCCGTACAACATAAACGACCTACATAACAATATATAAATTTTATTTAAAATAAAAAATATAAAAACCTTGTTGAGCAGTATGGAAGAACAAGGGACAATGGAGCTAGACCTGGTGATGCGCACGATGTTCCTTGGAGCAGATGCTGGCGGGAAAAAGGTTAGGTTGAGTTCTTGTTCTTTTTTCCTCTTTCTTCTACCGCCGAAACCAAAATGAAAAATCCCTAACTCTGGGGTGTATTCAATTAAGATTTTAAAAGAGTTTAAAAGAGTTTAAAAGTCTGGGTGTATTCAATTCAGATTTTAAAAGAATTTATAAAAGTTTGGGTGTATTCAATTCAGATTTCAATTGATATTAAAAAAATACATCGAAATCTAGGTGTATTCAATTATGACTTTTTAAAAGTCAAACAAAATTTAGGTGTATTCAAAAAGTAATTTATTTTGAAGAAATTAATAAGTTGCCCAATTTCGTTAGAAATTAAAGTGGTAAGTATAAATACAAACGGCTTTGACAAATCTTATGTGAACCCTAGAAACTTTGAACGTGCTCTACGCTCTCCAGTCGTTGAACGTGCGTGCTTGTCAAGTGGAGGTAAAAAATTTCTTCTCTTTTTCTACGCTTTCTACACATCCTGTATGCCGTTGCTTGTATCCAAGCAATTGTCGTTGCTTGTTTTGTTCTCCTATACATCATCATATATCCTGGTTGTACATCATCATACAAATAATTGTCGTTGCTTGACAAAATATGTTTCAGTTTTATGCAAAAAGCAACGAAAAGTATCATAATTCATGCAACAAGCCACGTTAGTAATTGCAACCCTATCATAAGACCATATAACCATGAACCAAAGATTCTGCTTTTGCTTCGTTCTTTTCTCTATATTATTATCCTTGGTTTTGGCTTTGTATGTTTGAATTCCTCATAATAATTATGTTTATTCTCTACGTCTCTACACTACCTTCCGCTCGAAAGCTTAAAATTGATTGAGAAAAATTTTGCTCTTAAGAGTCTGGGCCAGTACCTGGTATATATATATATATATATTTTCTTATGAACTAATTAAAGATTGCATGTATTATCTAGTAACATTATAAATGGGAGATTCACAACAAGGAAAAGGAAAAACATCTTATAACCCATGGACCTCGAAATAGAGCAATATGCTATTAGAACTAATGGTTGATGCTGCCAACCGTGGATGGCACGATTCTAATGGTTTGCTAAGCAAGCAAATAGTAGAAAGCAAATAGTAGAAAGCAAGATACTTCCTGTTCTTAATGCAACACTTGGATGCCAAAAAACTTATCATCAATATCAGAGTCGTCTGAAATGGTTTAAGACAAGATATCACAGTTTTACTCAACTTATGCGTCATAGTTCTGGATTTGGGTGGGACTCCGTCTCAAAGAAATTCACAGCTACTGAAGAAGTATGGCAAGATTACTTTAAGGTAAGATTTCAATTTTGTTAAAATGTTACTTTATAATGAGAACTTTCACTTTTGTACTTTTTGCATGTAATTAATTTTTTTATTTTATTTTTGGTTTTTGCTAGTCCCACCCAAGTCAAGTGCATCTTCAAAGAGATACATTTGCAGACTATGAGGATTTGGTAATTGCAATTGGCAATGGAACAGCTGCTGGGAAAAACTCAATTGGACTTGGTGATGATACCGATGCTAGAACGTATGAAGTTGGAGAAAGTAGACCTACCAATTTGCAAGATACCAATGAGGCATTTGTACCAAGTCAAAATGAAACATCATACCAATCTTTGTCGTCTGGTAATTTTACTTCATCACCTTTTCTAGACACAAATTTGGAAGCTCCATTAGAAAAGCTCCCTCCAAGAAAGAAACCTAAAACTGAGTTTGAAGCAAATAATAATTCAGTTGAGACCATAACTCGAGCTGAACTGGTAGAAAAAGTTTATGTGGGCATGGATTCAATTGCTGCAATTACCACTGAAATTCGAGGAATGCATAGCCTAATGGAGAAAAGAGAGAAAGAGAGAGAGAAAACCAACAATGTTTGGGATGCTATCAAGGAGACTCCGAACTTGGATAATCGTGCTCGTTACAAAGCACTTGGACTGGTTCATAAGCTGGGAATGAAAAATGCATTCCTGAAAATGTCACCTGAAGAGCGCTCAGAGTGGATATTATACACTATGGAATGAGTGTAGTTCTGTGAGATTATGTTTACCATTTTAAATGATGTTGAAACTTTGGTTTAAACTATTTTTATCATGTTGGTTTAAAATATTTTTAAGACTTTATTAGTTTGGAATTTGTTGAACTTTGGCCTACAATTAATTATTTGGGTACTGTTTATGTGTGTTACTTGCTGTATTTTTAAGACTTTATTATGCTTTTTCAGTTTTATGTTCAGATTTGTTTTAATCTATATAGTTTCAGTTTTATGTGCCTTTATACTTATGAATATTGCTTGTGTTACAATGTTATATGTGCACTTCAGATTTTTTTTGTTATTAATGGAGATGGAAGAAGTAGATGAAGTACTATGGAATGAAGAAATTGAGGAAGAAAAAGAAGAAGAGGAAATGGACGATGAAGAATTCGAGGAACATGATTATGAAACCATTAAGATATTGTTGATGGCAACAGAAGCAATAGCTCAAGTGCTCAATGCTTTAACGGCTCTCATACATGATGGTCATATTGAACGTTCATTAGCTCGACGCCCAATTTCTACAATTGGGTACAATTATATAAATAAGGTACTGAATGAGGATCCTCAACACTTTCGACAGTTATATAGGATGTACCCTGATGTGTTTTTGAAGCTATGTGGTATTATTAGAGAGAAAACGCATTTGCATGATACAAGATTTATTTGTATTGAAGAAATGCTTGCAACATTTTTACTCACTGTTGGTCAAAATTCTCGATATTGTCAAACTCGTGACACATTTGAGCTAACTATTTTTATCATGTTGGTTTAAAATATTTTTAAAACTTTATTAGTTTGGAATTTGTTGAACTTTGGATCCACAGTGCCAACTAAAATAAGAGAAAGTACAAGATTTTACCCTTATTTTAAGGTAAGTAATGACTACTTCATTCGTTATAATAAATATTATTATTATTATTATAGTTTTTGTATTAGTATTAGTACTGTTATTATTCAAAATACATAACATCTAATGCCTTAATTTATTTTAGGGTTGCATTGGAGCTATTGATGGCACACATATACCAGCAATGGTGACAGGGCGCGAAGTAAGTAGTTATCGTGATCGTCACGGTAAAATATCACAAAACGTGCTAGCTGCTTGTAACTTTGATTTGGAATTCATATACGTTCTTAGCGGATGGGAGGGTTCAGCTCATGATTCCAAAGTGTTAATGATTCTTTATCAAGGAGGAATGGACTTAAAGTGCCACCATGTATATATTTATTTATTTATGTCTATATTAGGTTGTATTGTAAATATTAATTGGATTTGTGTCGTATATTCAGGTAAATATTTCTTAGTGGATTGTGGATTCCCAAATCGGCGTCAATTTTTAGCTCCATTTCGAGGTGTTCGATATCATCTTCAGGATTTTGCCGGTCAAGGTCGTGATCCTGAAAATGCAGCTGAGTTGTTCAATCTTAGACATGTTTCCTTAAGAAACGTAATAGAGAGAATATTCGGTATATTTAAATCACGATTCACAATTTTTAAGTCTGCCCCTCCATTTCCATATGAGACACAAGCAGAGTTGGTCTTAGCTTGGGCAGGGTTGCACAATTTTCTCCGCAAGGAGTGTCGTTCTAATGAATTTCCTATTGAAGAAAACAACGAGCATTCAGCGTCGTCGTCATCACCAGAAACTGAGGGAAATAATTATGACCAAGTTTTTCAAACCCAAGAACAACAACGCGAGAATGCTAACCAATGGAGGGTTGGGATATCTTCAGATATGTGGAGAGATGCTATGAATGACGGGAGTCAAAGATGAGCAATGAAACAGATACTTATTCGTTTTTATGCAGTTAGAATTATAGTTTACTTATCATTTTTTTTGTCATGAAATTACTGCACATTTGAACAAAATTAGATGCCCTTTTTTTAATTTTCTTTGGATGTATTGATTTGGAAGTTCTTTACAAAATGTTTTTGTAAAGGTAATTTTTTCTTTCGAAAATCTGGAAAAACAATTAACAGCCCAAAAAAAAGAAAAAAAAGAAAAAAAATATTTTAGAACTCTAATCAACTCTTTTAAAATCTACGATAAAACTCTAACAAACACCATCAAAATCAATCTAGGAATTCAATCAAACTCTATGTGGAGTTGATAGAAATCAATTGAACTACATTGAAATCTATAAACTTTATAACTCCATTTAACTCTTTTAAAATCTTAATTGAATACACCCCCCTTAGTTCTTCTAAAATACTAAGGGACATTGGTAAGTCAGGAAGAATCTGATTAAACTTCATTGCACCAGTGCAATCCAACATTGCAATAATTGAGAATCATAGACAATTGCAGAGTTAGAAAGTCGAAAAAACACCAACTGTAGCTCTATTGGTATTTTATTCGACTTCTCATGTCCTTTTGGTTATTGTTATGTAGGTTTTGTAATTTAGTTCTTGTATAATAAATATCAGCATCAGCATATTCATGGGAAGAACAATATGCCACGATGGCTTATAAATTACCAATTTCATAATATTAAGCAAATAGAAACTTTGGAGCACCAGAAACTTCAGAGCATATATCATCCTTAAACATATCAGTTTTCTTAGCATCAGAAGCTTCAGAGCACCAAACTTTCTGTAACTTTAGGGAAAACCTCCTCCAACTATGTTTAGTTGTACGTTTGAGCAGTGTTCATTTGCCAACATTTATTTTTGGATTTATGTTGGAAAATTAGATGGTCTTGTTTGTATAATGGCTCTGTGTCTGTGGTTCAAACGTTGAGGCTCCGCATTAGGTAACGCAGCTCAGAATAAAACTTTTTCTGGTCAGCTTTCCAATTTGCTATTGTCCACATTGGATCGTTCGGATTTGAATCCCCAACCTCAACCGTGAGAAACCCTTGTCAGCAACATACAATTTTTTTGGTAGGGTTGAGTTTTCGAATGTGCTAGCTATATATAACTTGATATACTGTTTTATATCTGGACTGGACATGGATGTTTGTTCTTGTTGTTATGCTGTAGATGGAAGTCCTTTTAGGCTTTCGGTAACTTGAATTGTTGTTTGATCCTTCAGTCATCATTTACTTCAAGGAACTCCAAAATGCATGTGTTAATTCCTTTTCTTTATGTATTTGAGCAGATAGACTTGGATATTATTTGAAATATACGTCGTGAGAGCGAGTAATTATTTGGTGTGACCGTGTCAAGTTTACTAAATCCAACCTCTAATGAAATCTGTACTTCAGATAAATTCTCAACAAATTTTAGACAAATTCTTACTCTGCAAGAAAAAGAACAGAAAAAAAGGTTTCTACAACTAATCTCGGAAGCTGTTTCTGAAACCATGCAAGTATTATAAATTTATAGGCATGATGTTCTTAAGTTTAACATGCTTTCTGCTCTTTATTTTTTACTGGGTTCAGACAGTTGGAAGTAGAATCTGAGTTATTGTGTCTAGGAATTTAGAGCTGAACACATGGTTGATATCAATCTTGGGACTGCTTGTACAAGTGTGGTGGCAATCTCAAAGTTGGGACCCCTTGTACAGGGGTCTGCATATAGCTCACCAATCCTGGGCCCTCTGACATGTCAATATCCTTGGGCTGGATCCCTTCAGGCAATGTCCAACAAAAGCTATGCAAAAGTTGCCCCAGCATGTAGGTGACCAAATTGATGCCTAGTTGTGCTGCTGGGCACACACGCCTTCCTGCACCAAACGGTAGAAGCTGAAAATTATGACCCTTTGCATCAATGTCTTCTTCAATGAACCTTTCGGGTCGAAAATCGATTGGGTTGGGCCACGCTTTTGGATCACGCCCTATGGCCCAAACATTTACATGAACAGTGGTTCCCTTAGGAATATCATACCCACCAATCTTGACTCTGGTATTGGCCTTGTGAGGTAGCATTAGTGGGGTTGGAGGGTGCAGCCTCAGTGCCTCCTTGGCTACACATTTTAGGTAAGGAAGGCTTGAAATATCGGATTCTGTCATCATGCGGTCCAGCCCAATTATGCGATCAAGCTCCTCTTGGGACTTTCGTTGCACCCTTGGGTTCTTGATCAACTGCGCCAAGGCCCATTCAACCGAGATAGCAATTGTGTCCGTGCCTGCAGTGATCATATCCCAAAGTAATCCTTCAACACTATCCTCAGTGAGTTCATATTTTTCTTGATCACCAAGCAATGCACCCAAAAAATGCTGCTTGACACCACCAACGCCGTTAGACTTACTCTCAAGCATATGCTCTTCCTTGATTGCTTGTGTGAATTTCTCTTTCCTTGCCAAATGTCTGGAAATTGCAGTACTTTGAAACCACAAAACCCATCTGAGCCACCAATTCTCTTCAAAAATAGGTAGATATGCACCAACCTTTCTTTCATTAGCCAGAATTGCCACGATTTCCAACCCTTGCTGGTTTAGCTCACCCACTTCATTCTCAAACCGATTTCCAAACAATAGCATTGTGATAATGTTGAATGCCACTGATCTCAAGTATTTTCTGACCACTAAACATTTTCCATAATCTTGAGACTTGCTACAATCTTTGAAAATGGACTCTATCATGGCTCTAACTTCATCTTCTCTAATGTGTCTAAAAGTCTCAAGACTCTTACGAGATAAAAGCTCAAGCATACAAATCTTCCTAAGCTTTATGTAGTGAGGACCATAGTCTGCCCATATAAGGTCCTTACCATTTTTTGTGATCCTAGAACTAGACCAAGTCCTGTGCCTATGTGCTAACTGCTCATCATTGTCTTTGAGCACTTGCTTTGCCAATTCAGGGTTTGAAACTACTATGTGCAAACTTGAACCCAACCACACCGATACGATTGGACCATAAACTTGTGACAACTCAAAAAAACACCGAGATCCAACAGTTCCCAGGTTGTGAAGGTTCCCAATGATAGGCCATGGGTAGGGTCCTGGAGGAAGCTTAAATCTTAGACGGTTGTGGAGTTTGCAAGCTAGGAAGATGAGAATTGTTGAGATGGGCAATAGAACGAGATCCGTTGTAGAAAAGGGTACTTGAGATTGCATTTTTGAGCCTTGTAATTGTAGAAGAGTATATGTGTATCTCACTATATCAAGCATCCTTTTTGTAACAAAACCTCATGTCATGCGATTATCATCTTCCAATTAATGTGGTGAATGCTTAATGTTTTGTTGAGCCGTTAAGTTAAATGCTTCTATTGCAGCAGCTAAACAAAAGGAAGTGCATATTATACATGATGTACGGTTAATCATTCAAATACAATATAAAGTGAGTCTTACAAGAAGTCCCTCAAATAAGATTCGAATCCCTCATTGTGATGCAGTGATATTTGCGGACAATGAAACCCTTTTTCCTTTTTCTTCTTTTTTTTTTTCAAAAATTTATTTTCCTTTTCATTACATCCAGAAAGGAAAGGCAAAAGTAATGTGTACATATAATTCAAATGGTTTAAGCAAATAATAATTTGAAGGCATCACTCTATGGCATTTAATTGTGTCCTGTTAGGCTGGATATATATATGGATATATAATTTCCTGGAAACTAGGTCTATATGATTCTTGTAGTCTTCATCTAGAAAAAGGGGCTTGGAATAAAGGGGTGAAAAAGGTTCAATGGATCTTTTTATTTATTTTTATTTTTACTGAAAAGAACAAAGATATGAGGTGTAAAAGTAAGATTGTTTTCAAATCAAATCTTAGGTCGAGCACTATAAAAGTACGTGCAAATTAGGATAAGAGATTTTGTTATTCTTTAAGGCAATACTTTTTCTATTTTAATCTTGTTTTACTCACACACTTAATGTATAACTTAAGACTAATGAGATTAGATTAGCAGTCTAATTCAATAAAAAAAGGGATTGATTTGCATATTAGTGGTCTCAAGTTCGAACCTCTCACGACACTTTGACAATGTCTATTAAAACACCTCATCCTCAATATCGTTTGTATGAAAAGAAAAAGACCAATTACATTAGAGAAGTGTCGTAGAAAAACGTAAAATTAATTATACTTTTTTATATATAAAATGGGACAAATGGAAGCTTCTTAAGCTTATCTAAGCCAGTGCATGCATGTGTGGACCTCATACTCCAATGATCAGTGGGTTATTATTGCAACTTAATTAATTACAACCTGCGAACAAATGTAAATTTGGAAAAGCAGTATCGATGCTCAGTCACTGTCTACAGTGAGCCTTGTGATGGTAGTTAGCTAAATTTGGAATTTTCTTTAATTCAGAGACTTGGTGGATAAAAAACCACAAAGAAAAACAAAGGAATTTGATTGACTGAAAGCCAGAATTACAGCATGTGTTGAGCTGAGCCTCTCTCACATGTCCATTATCCAATGGAGGTACATTTATTTAGTGTCATTGGTTCATTGTCTTTTCATGCTTAGCTGCTGTGTTCTGATTGGACTTCTCTAAGTTTTTGGGGATAAGATTTTCAGTGTCCTCGTGGATTTTAGCAACTTGCACGACAGCAAAAAGTCATCCAAACTGACTTTTTTCATTGGTGCAGCAAAAGTAACATCCATCTCAAAATCCCAGTATGGTATACTTCTCATCTTTTGTTCGATCATATTTTCTTGTTGAGACAAGCACTATTGTGTGGGAGAATATATACCTAGTTATCTTCACATTTGAATACACAGTTCTTGAATTAATTAGGTGCAATCTTATCCTTACTTGCTTCTTATAATGAGTGGCTTAACTAAAGTTTTTCAAGTTTAGAAAAGTGATACATCTTTTAGTGGAGTAGTACTCTTTTGAATCATGTTTTTCTTATTATAGTATCATTAAATACGGGATTTTTCTTCATCC